CCTACTCTGGTTGTGGGGGTGGGGAGGAGGGGTGTTCTAGCCCTGGGCTGTGTGGTCAGCCAGCTACCATAGAGTGGAGGGCCAGAGGGAAGTGGGTCACCTGTACTGGGTGAGGAGGTCCCTCTAGTCCTGTGCTCTGTGGTAGCTGGCTGAGCACAGGGCTAGAGGGGACCCCCTGAGGGGTGCAGGCTGGTAGCTAGCTGGCTGACCATAGAGAAGCAGAGGTTAGAATGAAGTGTTGCCTGCACCCCAAACAGATTGGGCCTCTAGTCCAGCACTCTATGGCTAACCAGATACCATAGCAATGGAAGACAGAGCTAGAGGGCCCTCATGAAGGGGGGGGGTGCAGCAGTCTGGGAGCTGGTTGATCATAGAGGGCAGAGCTAGGGGGAAGAGCATCACCACATGGGGTACCTTTAGGTCTCCACTCTGTCATCTTCCTATAGGGCTTCTCTAGCTCCACCACACTATGGTCTGCTCCAGTCAGCCTGCACCTCCACATGGGGGGCCCCCTAGCCCCACACTCTGATCTGTTCCACCTAGGCTGTACCCCAAATGAGGCTCTAATAGCCCCATACTCCATAATCAGCTCAACCCTGCCTGCACCCCCCCCAGCAGGGGGGGGCTAGAGAGGCTGACCTTTTAACCCTTTCCCCTCTGCCCCCCAGAGCAACTGGAACGAAGTGGTCGATAGCTTTGATGACATGAACCTGTCGGAGTCCCTGCTGCGGGGGATCTACGCCTATGGCTTTGAGAAGCCCTCCGCCATTCAGCAGCGAGCTATTCTTCCTTGTATCAAGGGTATGGCTGTCTCCATCTGCCCCCTGCCTCCCTGTGCCTCAGTTCTTTCCCTGCTCCCCCCTGCTTGCTGGGCAGAGAGACACCACTCCATGGTGGGACCTCTTATATCCAGCAGGGGCAGAGAAAACTCCGCCTTCATTCATCCCAGCGCAGTGCCGCAGGCTGTGGCTGTTAGACTGGTTCATGCTGGGGGCACAAGGCTGTCCTACCTCATGCCAGGGTGGTGCCTGGGGCAGTGAAGCAGGCACTGGGGTGGAGTGTGGCTGTGTAACAGGGGCGGGGGGTCTTTGTTTTGGCTCTGAGATGCATCTGGGGTGAGTCATTGCTGAGTAGAGCAGGGAGCCCTGAGGTGGATCAAGGCCTTAAATAACAGAGCATTGAGATGCAACCAGTTCTGGGGTGGATCAAGACCACAAATAACACCATTGAGATGCAGCTAGCTCTAGGGTGGGTTATAGCTGAGCACAGAGATACCACTTCAAGGGTGGGGCCTGGCCGAGCAGAACGGGAGCCTGGTGGGGGCCTGGGTGCTGATGCCTCCCTCCTGCCCCTTCCCTAGGTTACGATGTTATCGCCCAAGCCCAGTCTGGCACTGGGAAGACCGCCACCTTTGCCATCTCCATCCTGCAGCAGGTTGAGCTGGACCTGAAAGCCACCCAGGCCCTGGTACTGGCCCCCACCCGGGAGTTGGCTCAGCAGGTGAGTGCTGGGGAATCCGGGCATCTGGTATCTCTGAGCACACCCTCAGAACCCAGGTTCCCAGTATCCTTTCCTTCTGGCTTCCTCAGTCCCTTCTGGTACCTGGAGAGAACGCGGGCATCTGGACTCCCAGTCTCCTCTGCTTCTAGCCCCTCTTCCCCTTCCAGAGTTGTGGGGAGAGCCCAGGTGTCCTGGCTCTCTCAGGCTGCCCTTCCTGACACAGGGATAAAACCCAGATGTCCAGCATCTGGTGGGCGAAAGGGACCCGGATGCCTGGGTTCTCCAGTCCCCCACCCCGTGCTGATTGGGCAGAGACGTGCCTCTCCGTGGCGCTGCTCTTTATATCCAGCAGGGGCAGAGAAACAGCCCTCACTCATCCCAGCGCAGTCCAGTCCTGTGGCTGGTGGACTGGTTGTTGCTGGGGGCACAGGGCTCCCTTGGGCCAGGGTTGGACTGGTTCATGCTGGGGGCACAGGGCTCCCTTGGGCCAGGGTGCATGCACTTGTGGGGTGTGTCATGGCCATGTAACATGGATGCACCTAACCTGGGTGCAGCCTGGCACCACGTGACTGGGATGAACTCGGCTCTGGTGCATGGCACAGCCACATAACACAGATGTCCCCAACTCTTGGGGTGTCACCTGGCACCACAGCACTGAGATTTCCAGCCAGCTCTGGGCTGCAGCATGCTGCTATATAACATGCGCTCAATTCTGCATGGCACCATATAACATGGATTTGGGTACCATGGAACATGCACTTGGTTGCGCACAACACAGATGCATCTGGTTCTAGGGTGCAGTATGACACCATATAACACTGATGCACAGCACCACATAATGAGGATGCGGCCAGCTCTGGGGTGCAGCCTGGGAGCACATAACACGTGTTCAGGTCTGGGTTACAACACAGCACCATATAACAGGTGTGCCTAGCCATGTGTAGCACAGATATGCCCAGCTCTGCAGAGAACCACATAGCACAAATATGCTGCACCAGAGCTGGGCGCAACTTTCCCCATTGCACACCCCTCCCCCTGCAGATCCAGAAGGTGGTGATGGCACTGGGCGACTACATGGGTGCCTCCTGCCACGCCTGTATCGGGGGCACCAATGTGCGGGCTGAAGTGCAGAAGCTGCAGATGGAGGCACCCCACATCATCGTGGGTACCCCAGGCCGCGTGTTTGACATGCTCAACCGTCGCTACCTCTGTGAGTGCCCCCCTGGCTCTGGCTCTGTCCCCTGCCCTTTGCCCTGCCAGGTGCCATGCATTGATGATCCCCCATGCGTGTCATCTGATGCCCCCTACCCTTCCCTTCGGGGAGGGTGAGTCCTGGCACTGATCACACCTTTTCCATACTGAGAATGGCACCCCTGGCCCTGTCCTCCCAGACTAAGCCCCACCTCCTTGTAAACAAGCCCCTCCCCTCACCCCGCAGCCCCCAAGTTCATTAAGATGTTTGTGCTGGATGAGGCGGATGAGATGCTGAGCCGTGGCTTCAAGGACCAGATCTACGATATCTTCCAGAAGCTGAGCGGGAACACGCAGGTGATTGGCCAGTCTGGGAGGACCCTTCCCACCCTGGGGTGGGGGTGGGGCTAAGGGGCAGGGCCTGAGGGAGACTCGGCCTGCTTGGATCTGGACCAAGCGTTAGTATAAGATGCTGGAGAGAGACCTGGACTTATGTGAGCAGGGCTGGAATCAAGGAGCAGAGCTTGCAGGGGGGGGGGGGGGGGGGGCTGGGGAGGGGGTGGAGGCGGTGGGGGGGGGGGGGGGGCTTGGTTCTAGAGATGGGGATCTAGAACCAAGGTGTAACTTTGGCCAGGGTGGGGGTAGAAGAACCTAGAACCGAGGGTGAGGTAGCAGTGTCAGCCACGTAGGTCACGTATATTGCAGGAAGGCAGTGGAGTGGGGCATGTCTGGGGTACGGAGTAGAGCCAACAAAAGCCAGAGCAGATCTAGAATGCAGGAATCCATTGGGCTCTAGGGCACAGCAGGGATGGGGGAAGCTGCTGGGTCTAGACCCTCAGAGCTGGGTGCCCCAGAACCAGCAGGTTTAGAACTGGACTGGGGGTGGGGGGAGACTCGGGATGTTGTCGAGAGCTCTCCTGGGAGCCAATCTCTGGCTGCCTCTGGGGTGGATCCTGGCTGTGTAAAGACAAGAGATGGGTTCTCTAGCTGCTCCAGTATACCATGTAGGGGGCATTGGATCAGCACCTTTTTTTATGGGAAGAATTTGTGACCGATGGAGGAGGTAAGAGATGCAGTGTAGTCTAGAACTTGATGTTTCTGTAAGGGGCACCCTGATCTAGAACTTGGGGCCCAGATCTGACAGGTGTGGTGCCATTTTGGTCTAGAACCCAGAGTCCAGATCCTTTATAGTAGAAGGAAGGTGCCATTTTGATCTAGCAGCCGGGGCCCAGATCCTCTGGCAGGCAAACTGCCATCTTGATCTAGAACTCTGGCCCCAGGTGGCCTGTAGGGAAGGCAGTGCCATTTTGATCTGGAACTTGGAGTCTTGATGCATCATGGAGCAAGGTGAGGTGCTATCTTGCTCTAGAACCCACAGTCCACCTGGATCATGGGAGAGGCACGGCACCATCTTGATTCAGAACTTAGGGTCCAGATTCTCTGACGGACAGGGCGTCATCTTGAGATGTAAAACCTGGGCCCCAGATGGACCATAGGAAAGGTGCCATCTTGATCTAGAACCTGGGGCCTGGATGCTTTATGGAGCAAGGTGAGGCACCATCTTAATTCATAGATTCATTGATCTAGAACCCAAAGGCCCAGATCATCCCTGCTGGAGGAGAGGAACCACCTTGACCTAACTGAGCTCCCCAATGCCCCTGGATGCCTGGGTTCTGGATCTAGGTTTGGGGGTGGGGTCCTTGTTGGCCCCACCCCTTGCCCACTGGCCCTGCCACCTCTCCCCCTCAGGTGGTGCTGCTGTCAGCCACAATGCCCATGGATGTGCTGGAGGTGACTAAGAAATTCATGAGAGATCCCATCCGCATCCTGGTAAAGAAAGAGGAGCTGACGCTGGAGGGCATCCGGCAGTTCTACATCAACGTGGAGCGTGAGGTGTGAGGCCGCATGCCTTGTGTCCTCGGGAAGCTGGGGGCTAGGAGCCCTCACACCTGGGTTCCCTTTAACCCTGGGTGCAGAACAAGACAGGACAAAGAGGGTGCTGGAGCCTGGGATTTGGGGGGGGGGGCAGATGCCAGAGTTATGTTCTTCCCCCCCTCCCCCCGACAGGAGTGGAAGCTGGACACGCTGTGTGACCTGTATGAGACGCTGACGATCACTCAGGCTGTCATCTTCATCAACACCCGCCGCAAGGTGGACTGGCTCACTGAGAAGATGCATGCCCGCGACTTCACTGTCTCCGCCATGGTACGGCCCTGCAGAAGCCTGGGCACTCTGCAGCTTTTGGGGGTGGGAGGGCAAGATGGGGGAGCTGGGAGCCTGGATGCCTTGGATCTCTACCCCCCCTGCCCCTGCATGGCACAGGATTTATGGGTAGTCCCCATGGCTTCTCCATAGTGTACCCCATGCCAGAGTACCAGCAGCCCCCCTGAACCATGGACTACCTCCAGCACCTGTGAGGCCTGGACCCTGAAAGGGGGGGCACAGTGGTCAGTCCTGGGAGGTGAGGGCAGGGGACACCTGGCTCCCACTGTAGTCCTTGAGTGGGCTTAGGATCTGGAGGGGGGTGCTCCTGGGTTTTCTGCCAGGCCAGTTGGTAACTAGTTGTCCCATCCTGTCCGTCGTGTCTCTGTTCTTCCCCCCCCCCCCCCCTTTCCAGCATGGAGACATGGACCAAAAGGAGCGTGACGTTATCATGAGGGAGTTCCGCTCGGGCTCTAGCCGGGTTCTCATCACCACTGACTTACTGGTGAGCTAGTGAGGGGGGGCCTGTGTGTAGGGGGAATCGAGCCATCCAAGATGGCTACTGTTCTGTAGTGATGGCTGCCATCTCTTCCCCCACATACATGAGGGGGTCAGTGGGGGATGCTAGTGTCAGGCTACCCCTTCACTTTGTGGGGCTGAAGGGGGGTGCAGGACTAGTGGCAAGTTCTGCCTTCAGTAGTGGTGTGAGAGACAACCAAGCTATCCAAAATGGCTGCTGTCTTACGGTGGCCATTTTGGGCCTTGTGGGTGAGGGTGAATGGGTGGCATCTGGGCCCTCCCCTCTGGGCAGAGTTGTAGGAGTTCAGATTTGGCTGTGTGGGAAAGGGAGTTGGCCAAGATGACTGCCCTGCTGTGGTGGTGGCAGCCATGTTGGATGGCTCGGTTTTCTCCCGAGGGAAATCTTGGTGGGGGCAGATGGGCTGCCTGGTGTGGGAGGGGTGTTTGATTACATGCAAATGAGAAGTGCCCTGTTCAAGATGGCAGCCGTCCTGTGGTGATGGCAGGTTTCTTGGCTATTGCCTTAGCAACTGCTTGGAGAGCCCCAGGTGTGGTGGTGGGGTCCAGCCAGGTCCCCAAGGTGGGGAAGAGGTCATGGGGAGGGGGGCAGCTGCTGGGGGAGGGGGTTTAGGCTCCTTTGTGCAAGTTGGGGTTTTGTATGAGGAAGAAACACAGCCATCTTGGATGACTTGTCCTATGATGGCAACCGGCCACTGACTTTCCCTCTGCCTCAAGAGGGTGGACCCCAGTGTCTGGCCCACCCCACATAGAGGGTGGGTAGGGGGTAATTTGGGGATGGGGTTTAGGCACTTGTAGGATTGTATGGACAAACACAAGATGGCTACTGCTCTGGTATCAGCAGCCATCTGATATTCCCTCTTCAGGGGCTGGACCCTGGTGTCCAGCCCCCTTCCAGGTGGGGATGGGGGAAGATGGGTAATTAGGGTGTTTAGGCTCCTATGGGGTCTGGAAGTCCAGTGTATGGGAGAAACCAACCATCCAAGATGGCTGCTGTCCTGATATAGTAGTGGCTATCTTGGGTATTGCTTTTCCCTGGTGCCTGACGCTCCCCTAGGTGGGGGAACATGGGTAACTTTGGGGTGGGGGCTGTCAAGGGGTAGGGAGATTTAGGCTCTTGTGGGAGCTAGAAGTCTAGTAAAGGGGGGACTCCCAACCATCCAAGGCTGCTGTGACTTGGGGTAGCAGTGGCTATCTTGGATACTGCCTTTATTTCACTGTGGGGGTGGATCCAGGTGGGAGGAGTTGGGGGTAACTTGGGGAGGGTCTGCCTGGGGAGGGGATTCAGGCTTGTGTCCATCTGGAACCCCTCCCTGTGTATGAGAAAATCCAGTCCTCCAACATGGCTGCCATTCTGCAGTAGCAGTGACCACCTTGGCTCCAGCCTTTCCCTTCGCCCCAAGGCGCTTCCCCCTCCACCCAGTGGCAGTAGCCTGTGCTGGGCCCGAACGTAGCTCCTTGGTAGAGAACTGGCTGTTCCCTCCACAGCTGGGGGGCCTCACATGGCCTCTGCTGCTATGTCAGCCACGAGGTGGGTGGGCCAGGCCAGGACAAACCCCCAAGCCCTGGATCAACCCACGTTTCCCTCCCAGGCCCGTGGCATCGATGTGCAGCAGGTGTCACTGGTCATCAACTACGACCTGCCGACCAACCGGGAGAACTACATCCACAGGTAGAGGTCCCAGGACAGCTGGGGGGTGCCCTCATGGAAGCCAGGTGTCTTGTACTTGGTGCCCTCGCCTGCCCCAGTGATACTCCCTTCTCCACCCAGCATGGGACCCACGTATCTGGGGCTGATGCCCTGGCACCCACGCATCCCAGCTGCCATATCCTTGCTGCCATCTACCCCCGCTTCCTATTTATGGCACCCTTGTGTGTTGGGGCTCCCTGGGGGGAATCCAGACATTGGTGGGGGGGGTACCCTAATGAAACACAGGTGTCTGGGTTTGAGTCCTGCCCACCATGTCAGAAGCAGGCATCTGGGCTGGATTGACCCCTGCCCCTGTCCCTCAGGATTGGGCGTGGGGGCCGGTTTGGGCGCAAGGGCGTGGCCATCAACATGGTGACGGAGGAGGACAAGCGCACCCTGCGTGACATCGAGACCTTCTACAACACCTCCATAGAGGAGATGCCCCTCAACGTCGCTGACCTCATCTAGCCCTGCCCACTGCAGGGGCGGGACCTCCTGGGGCTCTGCCCCTGTCCCAAGAGGCGGGACTTTTCCCCCAGCTGTGGGGGCAGGGCAATCTGGGGCTCTGCCTCCTGGGGGGTTGCAGCTAGGCCTGCACAGGGGGTGGGGCTCTCCTTGAAGCACCACCCACCAAGGGGGTGGGGCTTGTGGGGGCCCTGCCCCCTGCTGGACCAGACTTGGTATTTTATTTTAATTGTTGTTTGTATGATTTTTTTTTTTTTTTCTTTCCTTGGTCTTTTTTGGAATAAAACCGTCGCTTTTTGGAGGTTAAAAAAAAAATGCAATTAAAAAAAAAAAACACAAAACAAAAAACAAACCCAGAGAAAAACCAGAAACAGTCCCAAATTTCCTGCTGTCTTGTCCTTTTCTCTCTCCTGGGAGGGTGTTCGGGATGTCCCTGTCCCCTCCAGTGCAACTTCAAGGATGGGATGGAATCGGGGGGGGGGTTGTGTCTCAATCCCCTCCTGATTCAGGGCAAAGCATGTGCGATTACCTCCCCATTCCCCGAGCCCCTCAGTTTGGAGGGAAGGGAGGAACCCAGGGGGCTGGGATGCCCCTCCTAGGGTTCTGCGGGGTAGGGGAGACCCCAGGAGTCCTCGAGCCTCCTTCATTACCTTGCTCTGTTCCATTACAACACTTTTCTACCTCTGGCACCCTCTCCTTGTCTTGCAGTATGTACTGCTGTTTCTAATCCTCCATCTTTTATCCGTGATTTTACTGTACTGCTATAGCAGATATTTTCATTGCAGTACACAGTGCTAGTTTCTCCAGTAGCTCTGTCTCGTGCCAACGCTATTTCTTGGTCTGTTCACACAGACTGTGGGTTTGGAACCTCAGACCTGGTACTGTTTCTCTTGGCATCTCTTGCCGTTCCTTTCTCTCGCTCTGTCTACTGCTGTTTCTATTTCTCTGGCTTCTAGTTGCAGCTGTGCCCCTATTTCTTATCACAATATCTAGCATGGATTTTCTGCTGTTCTCTATCCATTTTCTATGATTATCAGTATTTCTATTGCAGTCTCTAGCCCCGTTTCTCTCACTCTTTTTCTATCGGCCACTTTTTTTTTTTTTTTATTTTCCTGTTTTCTATTTATTTTTTTTCTCTGTTGCAATATCCAGCACTATTTTCCTCTCCTCTGTTGCCATTTCTATCCCTCCATCTTCCATCTGATTGGTATTTCTCTCGCACTATCTAGCATGGTGTCTCAGCTCCATTTTCTGTGACTCGGTAGTTCTGTTACTGGGATCCATGACCGTGTGTCACTATTTCTATCACACCATGTAGTGCTGTTTCCATCGGTCTGTTTTTGGTTTACACTTGTCTTTCTATCACAATATCTAGCACACTTTGTCCCTTCACTTTTTTTCTCTACAACTGTCACCAATTCTATCACGATCTATCATTGTTCCATTTGTACCTCTTCATTTTCTACAACTATTGCTGTTTCTTTCTATCACAATATCTAGTCCTTGATCTCGGTGTCCCTTGCTATTTTCTATCCACTACCCTTTCTTTCCCTCTGCCCTGACTTCTCTCCTTGTTTGCCATCTGTTGCTGTATCGCTCATTCCCTCTTGCAGGATTTAGCACGGTTTCTGTGTCTGGCAGTATCGACCACTGCTCAACTGTTGCTGTTCATCTCTCTGTCTCTCTCTCTCTCTCTGTCTCTCTCTCCACTGCCACTTCTGTTCCTCTGTGCTCTCTGCTGCTGTATCACTTTTTGCACTGCAATATCTAGCACAATCCCTCTCCAGCTGTTTCTTTTTCCTGTAATCTCTATTGCTATTTAGTGTTGCTTCTGTCAGTGCCTCGTGCTCTCCATCCACAGCTAGTTTTCTCTGCTACTGTTTCTAGCCCTTTATTTTCCTTGACTTGCTGTTTCTTCTGCAGTATGTAGCACAGTATCTCTCTGGCCTGTTACTTTTTCTCTGTTGTGATATGTTTTAGAGTCTGTCTATCCATCTCTCTGTATCAGTCTCCCCTAATGGGGGCTGCTGGGTCTCTAGCCCTACCTACCATCCTTTTTCTGTCACAATTTTCAGCTGCTGTGGTGTCTCATCCCTCTTTCTTTCCACTCTGTCCTTCCTACTCCAGTAGCCATCTGGTATTTCTCAGTATGTGTCTTTCTGTGCTGCTCTATCCCCTCCATTTTTGACCAAGTGTATTGCATCCCATTGCAGCGCCTGGCACTACCAGTGTGTCTCTGTCACTATCTAGCTCTCGCTGCCTGGCTGTTCATCCAGCTCTCGCTATTTCTTGGTGTCCACTTCTGTCCCATCTCTCTCTCTCTTGCTGTTTCTCTGCTAATTGCCATCTGTATGGCTGTGTCTGTTTTCCCTCTGTCTCTTGCTGTTCCTCCTTGTTATTTCTACCTCTTGGCTATTTTGTTGTCTGCTGCTACAGCTGTGCCTCCGTTTTTCATCAGTGTTCATCTTTTGCAATATCTAGCACTTTTTTTTTCTTCTATTTCTATCACTGCCTCTCTTCTGCTGTTCCTACCTACTCCAGCTACTTTTTGCACATCTAATTGAGCAATGTGGTGACCATCCCAATCGCACTCCTGCCAGTTCAGCCTTGCTGTCGCTATTCCTTCTCACTTCTCCCCCACCCCATTACTGTGGGAACTTCTCAGTTTCTCTTGCTGTTTTTGTCCCTTCTGCTGCCTATGCCTCTACTTTCTATCTGATGCTGCATCATGCCTTCAGCTGCAGCATCCACAATGATTTCTGTCTAGTTTGGTTTTTTTAGCAGACGCTGTATCCAAGCACTATTTCTTCATTGCTATTTCTTTAACTGTGTATCTAGCTCGATATTGCTACTTTATGATCTTGGTATCCCATGTTTGCTCCTGTTATTTCTTGATCTCCACTTTTTCCTATTCATCTCTCTGTCTCTGCTGCGTATTGATCTAGCTATTGCTACTTTTTCTTTCTTCATGTCTTCTGTCCCTTGCTATTTCTCCCTGCCCCTATTTTTTTTTCCCCTACTTCCTGCTGTATTGCTTGCTTTCTACAGTACAAGAACGGCACTAGCTCTTATCTTGCTATCTCTCCCTATTTTTTGTTTGTTTGTTTGTTTGTTTTCCCCTCTCTCTCTGCCATGACTTCTCCTGCTCCAGTTGGGTATCCAGATTGGGGCTTGTGCTAGAGCACTTTATTTTCCGTGACTTCTGCCTGTTTTCTGGCTACTCGTAGTTCTTCCTGACACTCTTCCCTCCATCTCTCTCTATCCCTGCACTCTTTTCTATCACAATATCACTGTCTTTACCACAACACTTTTATTTATTTTTTTTTTTTCTTACATCAATTTATTGTCTTACCTGGTGTTTCCTGAGGGTCTCTCTATACTGTGCTCCTCATGTTCCATTTCTGCAGTGCAACATGCAGCCTCCCCCAGAGGAGGGCAGTGCTTCTCCAGTGTCTCAGATTTCCCTGCTCATGGTGTGATCCTCCAGGCAACATGTAGACTTCTACCATGCAGAACTGCTGCATGAAAGCCTGAGGACTGGCAGGTGTATCCTGCACCTCCTTTCTCTTCCTCCCCCCACCCCCCGAGCTACTGTCCAGAGGTGTCCTGGCCTATTGTCATCTGTTATTTCTTTGTTCTTGCCCCCTTCCCTTTATTGCTGCTCTCTCAATCCAGGTCCATCTCCTTACTTTCTGTCTTGGAGGGGCAGGAGCACCTGCCTACACTTCCAACACAGATTGCAGATGAGGGTGTTCAAGATGTGGCCCATGGCAGGGGTGCAGACTCTACAAGGGTCCAGAGACAATGACTGAAGGGATGAAGTGCGAAGGGAGAGTGAGTGAAGTGGAAATTCAGAGCTGCTGCCAGGCAGAAAGTGGAGTAGGTGAAACAGCAGCAATGGAGACATAGGAGAGCGGGCACATGGGTGGTCCCCATGTCTCCTATGCAAGTTGGCATGTGTGTACTCCCATCCCATGAGAACTAGCACATGTGTGCTACCCCATCCTGTAAGATTCAGCATGTGGGCGCTCTCCCATGTGAAAGCTGGCGTGTGCACTCCCACCCTGTGAGAGTTGGCATGTGTGCGCTCATTGTATCCCATGAGAGCTGGTGTACATGTGAGAATGATGTACATATGTGCTACCTGTTCCCTACGAGAGCTGATGTGTTCTCCCACCCTACGCTGCCCCTGTTCATTGCCTGGTCATGTTGGTCTTAACAGTCTCTACCATCATCCTCAAAACAAGGCTTCACTGACTGCAAGACAGCCTCAACCCATGGGCTGATGCCAACCTGAGTCAGTCATGTGCGCACAGAGACATGGCAGTGGGGGGAGAGGTGTGTGCAGAAGCACAAACAAGTAGGTTTATATTGTCATATTTACAGGCATATTGCTTATATAGTGTAGGTGTGTGCATACCCATATACATACATATATATGTGCTTGTATAACTAGTTGACAATTACATGCTGATGTGCATGTATACACGTGCATACACATGCGTCCATACATATACACCCCCCCCATACAAAAACTTATTCCCCCCCCCCAGGGCTAGATATTGATAATGCAGTAGTGCTAACCCCATCGTGAAAGGGAAGACACTTAAAAAAAAAAATCAAGCTTTACAATGTAAATCATGAGATGTTATTTTTGAAGGGGGGGACGGGATATTTGTGAAGGTGTGGGCCTGGAGGGGGTGGCCTACACACCCTGGCAGGATGTGGGGTACTGTGGGTCAGGGGCAGCAGCAAGGTGTGTG